AAGAAGAGACTTTACCTAAATCTCTTTCAAATGAAAAGATTTTTTAAAAGCAGTTAATGGAAATTGCAAGGATAGTGAAGCAGCCAGAAATTTGTTATCCCGGAATCAAAAACCCTATTAGGCAGTGGACATTGATTTTAGAACAACAAAACCAAGTTATTCGGGATAGTAAAAAAGCGAATGAGTCCATAAAAATAAGCTACACTACTTGAAATTACATAAGGAAAAATACAAATTAAGGCCATTTTGAAAAAAAGTTATCACTATGCTTAAAAATTACTTGATGGCTGTGTTTATAGTTTTTTTACAGCGATTCTTAAAATAAATATTAACCGGTGGTCATTACGATGTGTCTATTATAACAGGGTGTTCCGTAAAGACCACTCTTGTTTTGCTTTTTTAGAATCTTTATGAAAAAGGAAGGAAAAAAAAACGCGAATTAATATTTAAGCGAGGAAAAAAACTAAAACTCTATCGAAATCTCACAAATCACAGTACAGGATGGTGTATATAGTAAACTATAAGATAGGTTTGATTGAGAGAGCAAACCATGAAGAGTTAAACATCTCCAAGTTTCAACCTTCTATAACACCTGTTTTGGCGTTTATTGCTTTAACCTTCCTCCATTGTTCTATAGAGGTTTCTCTTCGGAGAAACATTAGTCTACAAACTCTAATGTATATGTTTTTGTGTTTTCCTTTCTGATTAGAACTCCAAAACCCATATTAAGGGTGAGTTTTGCGGAACACCCTGAATGAAATCGCGTGTATCCTCCATTGGAAATCCTTGAGGCAGGAGTTTGCATTCTTTAAGTAAATACAACCTTGTAACACCCTTGTAATAATCTCTAGTTCTTTTATTTAATTTAATTTTTTACTTTTTGTAACTTAACCTTTGGTTCATAGCAATCTATTCATTTTTCGCAATAATTCTAAAAATATTTTTTAATAAGAAAAAAGTAATAACAAGTAATATAAAAAACAATTTAAAGTCAATTCCTACTTAGGTCAACATTGAAAAATTTTACTTTAGCTACTTTTTATTAAATAATAAAAAAAAAAAATTCTCCCATATAAAATTAAAATTAATTAAATTCAATTAATGAATTAATATTTGAAAAAACTGTATTAACATCAAGTGTCATCCACTATAATTTCAAAAAAATGTATTTGAACTTGAATGGATGATTGCAAATTTGAATAAGATATATAAATACATATGAGGAGACTGTGAATAGTAGGAAGTGAAAAAAAAAAAAAGGCGCTTGGTATCAGATAACTAAAAAAGTATACATTTGGTGACGTGGTTCACACGTGCTACCATGTAATGCTCTTTATTGAATTTATCTAACACAGCGAATATTAAATAATTAAATATTTCAATGTGCGCAATAAACAATTTATTTGTTCAAATAGAGCTATAAGTTAGAAATTATCACTGATGTTATTTTTAAAATACGTGGAAAACTAAATCGCTTATAGTAAAATTTAAAACAATAACTAACTTAACCCATCAGAAATTCCATTTCGTAATCCCTCATCCCTATTTAATGAATGAATTAATATTTGAAAAAACTGTATTAACATCAAGTGTCATCCACTATAAGTTCAAAAAAATTTATTTGAACTTGAGTGGATGAATAAAAAGTATTTTATTAACGATTGAAAATTGGAACAAGATATAGGTAGAGTGAGAACTTATAGTAGGAATTGAAAAAGTGGGTACAATAGTTCCTACGAACATTAGTACGCACGCTAGTATTTGGCGCACTATGGCCGCTACCGCCTGTACTTTTAAACTGCACTTTCAACTAACCAGCTTTATAGATGGATGAAGAGAAAAGTTGTAAAAATATGTTGAATTCTTGTTGCTTCCATTTTCTCCTGACTCGTGTTTTTCGAGGTCTTCCACTGTTTATAACTGTTTTATATATCCTGCGCTTTTGTTTTTTAATTTACTAAGAATTTTGTAGAATACTTTTTTTTTTAAATTTTGATATTCAATTTTCTTCTAAGTCATAGTGAAGGAAAATTTTAGTAAATGTATCCAACTTAGTGACTAACAAATTTTCAACTGCTTATAATTCCGAATTGCAATTTATAGTATGTATTCTAAATTTGTCGCCTAAGTATATGTTGAACTAGCATAGCACAAATTCTTAAAATTTTTATTACTGCATCAGGCCTGTGGTCAAAAGAGGGATGGCTTAAAGGTCTGTCCACGTAGTAGTGACATTTGCTTCCAACTAAAATTTAATAATAATAATAAATATAATTTCATCAAGTGAAAATAATATTTACACAAGTTATACATTACGCATACTTAAGTGGCGTTTACACCGGGTAGCTAAGATTTGATAAGTTCTCAGAAACATACTACTTTTTTATAAATTATATATTTTTTCAAATCACCCGGTCATACCCCACTACTAGGGTAAGATCGGGTACACGTGTTAAATATGTGGAAAATTTCTCTGTAATACTGGTATTTCAGAGAAAGATAACAGATAATTCTAATTTATATGCTAATGTTAGAAAATTATGCATGTAATATACAGGTGATGTACTCAAGTCCGTACTCAATGGGAGGAGGAAGAGGGATAATTATCCTGGAACAGCTGAGGCTTGACAAATTTCTTACAAAGATCCTGATTAAGAATGAGAACCTGTTTAGTGAAATACACTGATGAAAAAACTAATGGAGAGAACTATCATTTTTTTTTTAAAAGAACTAAATGAGTACCCCCTAGGAGCAAATAAGGTACCAGTTGATAGCTAAGCTCTTCGCAGAGACATTTGCCACGCATTGATCATTGTGACGTTATTAGGCAGTGGTGCTGTGATCGCGTTTGTATCGTGTTACTTCATTTGCTCACCGAAGCTTGTAACATAAGGACATTTAGAATCGTAGCTTAGCCCATTCCTTGTTTTTGGAATTTCATTGTTTATCCATCGTTAGTATGACCAGTCGTCATCGTCTAGATGATACCACAAGATGGTGTATAGTTGGAAGACTCGAAGTGGACAAATCACAGTCTACCTGTGGTAGGGACCTTGGGGTCCCGATAAATATGGCGTCCACTCTATGGAAACAGCTCACAGAGACAGGAACAGTGGTTGCCCATCTGGTCAAGACCGCAAAAGGGCAACAACGCCGGCTCAAGACCATTATTTGAGTCTTAGCCAAAAGGAATAGGTCAGCGACACAACTGTATTGTAACCTGTATAATGCAACATCCATTCCACAGATAACAATCGTCCAAACATTTAATGCAAGTGGCTTACATGCCAAACGCCCTATAGCCTGCATCCCTTTGACTATGAATCATAAAAAGGATCATCTAGCATGGTGCCGAGAAGGGGTACCCTCAGGAGGGATTCAAAGTTAGCAGGTCTCCATGGTCATTTTAAAGGGGGAATTCTTTGTATATTTATACAATTTTGTAGTTTTAAAACTAAAAAAGAAATATTTATGGAATGTTTTTGATTATTTAAGGCACCATTTTTTTAAATATTTGAGAAGGGGATTATTTTTAAAATCTTCTTCAGTTGGAGATATTTTTCATTCCAAATTTATTATATCATCAATGTTCTACTTTACATACAGGAAATAGCAAATAAGAAATAAGAGAAGCATATTTCCAACGTGTGGTTTAGTTTGAGGGGAATGGGATTCTTTTTTTTGTTTTTTTTTGCATGGCTAGTTAAATTTCAAAATCCTTTTTCAGATTTTTACATTTTAGATATTTGATTTTAACGGGATTTTCTTTAAAACCATGTTCATTATTACTTTAACTCAATTCGCATAATAAGAGGAGGAAATAATTAGATAGTGCATTTATTGAGTTAAAACATTAATTATAAATTTTTTTGGAGTAGGATATTTTTTAAAACCTTTTTTTAGTGGAATTTTTAGTGAACTATTTTCATTACATTTTTATTACAACCAAAAAAGATGTTGGAGTTTAAAAAAATTATTAACTGCTAATAGTGTTACAAATTGTTCAGCTCTATGTGCTCTAAGCAAAGTTAAACCCATAAAAACCTCAAACATAATAAAACTCAAAAATAATATCCGTCATGTTTGAGAATTAATATTCTCGGAGGTAAATGAAAAAAAAAATTAAACGTTAAAAAAAAGAGCACCGTAATTCAAATTTGAGTCTGAATTAATTTAATATTATAAATAAAATATCACAAGTTGATTAAATATTATTTTAATTGAGTAAATAGTGATTAATTACATACTATTTTAAAATTAGGTAACAATAGCCCCTTCCGATGGGCAGTTGGTCCTCCTTTTTCAATAAGTTGAATTTAAAGTATTTCGAGATTTATAATTATAATCATATATAGTCAAAAATAAACACAATATGTTACTATAAACTCATATTGCTCATGTGAGAATGGATTGAATTTTGCATGCTCGTACTTACAGATCTTGGCCGTTCAGGAAATTTCACGAAAACGGGTATTTGTTATTAAAATGGTTCAGTACAACTTTTGCCATTACATAAAAGCATTCTAGTACATAAATGTACAACATACAGATATTCTAATTAGTTCAATGCTGCAAACTATAAAAAAAAACAGTAACTATAAATTAATTAGTTGCAAACTATATAGAACTCAAAACTGTAATAAGCATAGTTCCTAAAATATTCTGAAAAATAATTCTGACATTCTAAATGTGGAAAGTATTATGGAAGGGAAAAGCATCGTATACTATCTAAGTAGAGGAGGAGAGAGACGGCTCTAGAACCGCTCTACTCCTCAGAGGGCGAATTCGAAAGTTGCAATTGCAAATTCATTTGCGAAAAACTCACTAATCATGTTTTCATCCTCTCTTAACGGTGATCAGAAGTTTGAATTGCATGCAGTGAGAATGGCCCTTAAACTGAAATACCGTTATCACATGTAAAACTATAGTAGCGTCATCTACTGATAAATTAACTTTGGGAAAGTCAGTTTCCGATCTACAGTAATTTTAACCGTAAGGTTTTAGGTTGTTGCCATAGTTACAAGCAGACAACAAGTTGACGTAACAAAATAAATGCCTTTGATTTCTCATTTGTTTTTCTTGAAGTTTTAAATTGCATAATGCATTTTTTGAAATATTAGAATTGGTTTAAAAACTGGATCGCAATTTATTTACATGACATTTTACCTCTTCTAAATCTTAGCCTGGCGCTGACAGAAAAAAGTAATTTAAAGTTTTTATTTTCTACCCTTCCACATCTCTTTTCCTATTCTTGAACATTTAAATGCTCATTGATTATATTCTAGCTGTTTTACATTCTTCACTTTTAAATTTTATTTTTGTTCTATCATCTAATTTCATTTTAATAGCAACAATTCCAGCAATTTGTGATGTGTGAAAAGAAATGAATTATATGACTGTTGTACAGTTTATAGCTGAATATTATGACCAGTGTTTTCACTATAGCGCGAGAACGCGAGAATCTCGCATATTTTTTTCTTTTCTCGCATTAAAAAATGATTACCGCGAGAAATTCGCGCATTCTATAAATTAATTTCAAAATTCGCGAATTTCTCGCATTTTGGAAAAAGCTTCGAATTACGTCATTTAGAATAAAATCCGTTTCACATTTCTTCCTGGATCTTCATTATTTTCAACACTTGCCCCGTTATCTAGCTTCCCTATCTAGCATTGTTCAGAACCTTTTCGAACAACAGAGCACAACCCCTCCGAACCACGGAACCACTTTCAGAACACATTTTTCTGCAACCACGTGTTTACTGTAGGTATGGTTTTTTCATGAAGACGTTCAAATTTTTTTATGCACTAATGTAAGATGGACAAATACCTAGAAAAAGGCAAAATTTTCTATGATGATGCAGCAAAAATATTCAATGCTTTATAAAATAGAAGGCGTTAAAAATGTATTATAATAAAAGAAATTTTTTTTTCAAGTCTATTTGTATTTTTTCAGTTTTTAGAAATCTCACTTAACTTTCTGAAATCTCACCCTGTTTTTGAGAAAGGGTGAGAAATTCTCACCCATTTTTTTTCTATGATGAAAACACTGAATGACCATGGATTTTTTAAAGGTATTTGTTTATTTTTATGTTCAATTGCCTCCTAACATGACCGATAAGGTCTTGAGTTATTTCCCTTTATAGTAGTAAGTACCTACTCGTGTTTCACACATCGTGTTTCAATATTTTGGGGGTATTTCCCCAATGGTTTGGGGGATCTATCGCGCCAACTACAAACGCCAAGGAGCCAAATATATTGTAAACTAAAAAAAACAACAACATGTAGATATTTGTCCGGGGGTGGCTACGAGTTATACCTTTCAAGTTGGTCCACTATTTTAATTGCAATAAATTATGGTGTTTGAAAAAAAAATTGCTTTAAAGTTATTTTATAGAGTTCATTATTTTATTAATTAAGTTCTAAGTGTATAATATATTGTTTAAATAACCTTGCCTGTGTAAGCTAAACATTATAAAACACATTTTTTATGATTCTTAGCTTTACTATTAACTTGCATGTATTTTTTAATGTTTGAAAACATAAAACAGATGTAAACGCCATAAATTAGATGTAAAGGGCATATTTACCTACAAGATAATAATATGATATCCATACAACATAATATGATATACATATTACCTATACCATCATAATATGATTCTTGATTGTCTAACTACAATAATGTAAATTAACATAATTATATTTTTCTTCTTTTGTTTCACTTTCAAACAAAATAAATATTAATGAAGTTTTTTTTTTGTAATAATATGATAAAAACTTTCAGTTGTAATGTATGGTGGTAGTTATTCATTTTACTAAAAGGAACCTTGAAAACCTATAACTACAGAACCAATATGAGGTATCTACTTGTATATTAGATACCTATTATCACTATACCAACAGAATATATTTGTAATGCAAATATAACTTCTCTTGAGTCAATAATTGTTTGGCAATTTTTCTTTCTTTCTTCTTCAAAATAGATAGGTTCTGAATATATTAAAAGTTTGTTTCTTCCTAAAGCAAACTATTGGGAATATTTGACATTCAAAATATAACTAGATTCAAAATATAATAATTTTGAAATCAATTACTAAAGTATGAAATAGTTTATCTTCCTTGATCTAGTTTTTTTCCCTTTTAATAATCAGATTCTCAATCCAGCTTATTTCAATATGAATTTTCTTGCTTGTAATATATATCCCCACATCAAAACACCATGGTCAAGCACCTTATCCCATTTTTAGGGTTGTCTTTTATGGTCATTGTAGGAATACTGCACAATTTTGACCTTGGTCAGATGGGCGAGTCTTGACCATGGACAGCAGCTGAGCTGGTAACCCTCTCCAAATTTCCACATCACAACTAACTGGAAGATTTTCAGCCATGACAGATTTCATTTGCACCTTGCTGCTTGTACACACCAGTTATTTTGTTAACTATCAGGATCAAACTCACTACCCCTCCACCCAGCTCTCTAATCAGTGATGGGGCGGATGGTAGAATAGCCCACCCCTTGGCGACTTTTTGAAATTTCGCCAAGTGACTCGACTTTTTTAAATCTCGCCAAACTAGGTTTCTGGAAAATGTTTCGGGGAGATATATTGCAACCTTATTGCAAGTGAATTTTTTATTTTATTTTATTAAAAATATTTTAAGAAGTTCGTAATAATTTAAATTGTTTTTAATAATAAAAAAATAACTTTGATCCAAATAGTAATCGCCAGCTTGGCGAGATTTCAAAAAGTCGCCAAGAGGTGGGCTATTATAGAATTTTACCCCATTGATGTAAGCAACATTTTAACCAAGTGTATCAGCCGAGCGCTTCTTACTAGTAATATCATATACAGAGTGTTTTAAAAATGTAGTGGCAAACCTTAAGGGGCTCATCATATGGATTGCAAAATGTATAACATTGCAATCCATCATAGGAAATATATACATACAGAATGGTAGAAGTCTGCATAAAAATGCAGATGGATTCTGTGTGGCTAACCACTTTCCTTTCCCACTCATCTGATTTATCAAACCCTGATTTCTTTCTGCAGGATCTCTTATAGTTGTGCAGGATCTCTTATAGTGTGTGCAAGTAAAAGTTGTGTGTAATGTCTATCATAGCTATCTATCATTAACCCTAGTTTGCACTGCTGCAACAATCAAAGAAACTTCCTGTGGGTTCAACCAAAAACAGCAATTAATGCTTCCCCATTGTCAAGCATGCACAGCATCTGATGATGTAGTCTTGGAGTATGTGTTTAACATTATGCACTGTATTCATCTAGTATGCTATTTTTATTCATAATATTTTTATTCATTCCTTGAAAACTTACCAAAAAAATTATTTTTTTAAAAATAAATAAAAGAAATTGAATTTTTTAAATTTAAATTGTCATACATACTGGTGAAAAAGGCAACTTTTCAAATCCCGTAAATTTTAAGAAAACAGGGAGTCAAAATTTTTTAAAATATTTCATAATAATGTTTGAATCCACATTTTGCAACACATCTAGCTTCATTTGACACATAGCATTTTTGAATTAATAAACAACTGACTAATAAGGGTCGACTTATATACCAAGATGTACAAAAGCTTCTTTTTCCCCATCCATCTACTAATCAAAGCTCTAATAAAATGCAATAACAATGCTTTATATTATAAAATAGCAACTGCGAAATAGCATTGAACTAAAATTGTTAAATAATTACTAGAAACTATTTAGTAAATCATAGATCTTTTTATGCGAGCTCAACATCCTCATGAATTTGCAATTATATATATATATATATATATATATTTATATATATATTCTGGATTCAATATAGAAGTAGGATTGAAATAACTTTATAACTTTAAAAATATATTTAGAAATTATACTACATAAAAAAATATTGTATTTTCAACTTGAAATAATGATTTTAAAAAAATAGGTGATTTAAATCAGTGATTTAAAAAAAAATCATGCTATCATATTGCAATTTAAATCATACCTACCCTGGATACAAGATAAATTTTTCAATTAATCACTTTTTTGTGTACTTTTAGATTATCTACTACTGCTGCCACTTTTGCCTGATGTTTACAGCCATGGGTTGCTATGCATCATTATGATGTGCCTTACTTCCCCTAAATTTTTGTCGATACATTTTTGAAGCATCCTGTAAACTCATAGCTTATCAATTGCTTTATTACATAGGTTACATATTAAGATTTTTTAACACATTTAATTTAATTCAAAGATATGCTTACATGAAAAATAAGAGTATTTTTTTAATTTTATTTTAGCATTTAGATTATCTTGAAGGAACAGACTATGCAGCACACAAATTAGCCTAAAAAAAGTAAATAGGAAGGTTTTAACTATGTCTAGCACTTCTAAAGCAACTGGTGAAAATAACTGTAAGTTTTTTTCCATTAAGTAGTTCTTTTTGTTGTTGTTAAGTACAGGCATAATTTTTCCCTCTGACGAAATAACTGTTACTGACAATAATGCAATTTTTTTTCTAAAATTTATATTGTTCAATATTTATTTTTTGATTGAAAGTAAATGACTTACCATATTATCAATAATTTCAATGGTGAAAATTTTAACTTCTTCCTCTCTCTCAAGAAAGTATTTTTATGTGACCTTTTCTTACTTCTCTCTCTCTCTNAGATATAATCTTTTCTTCAGCCCACACGATTATATCCGCAAAACAGAGTGCTTTCTGATATTGTATCAATAAAGCCAAAGCAAAATATATTAATACAATAGTGTGAGGAGCGCTCAAAAAATTTTTTTATAAAATAACTACATAAAAATAGATCATAAAAAGTAAAAATAACATGTAGAAACAGATCATAATATATATATATATATGTGTGTGTGTGTGTAAAAGCCACACATAGAAGTCAGTGTTAAGTCAGTGTATATTTTTATTGATAGTCATTTCTTTTTGCACTTATTAGGAATGAAAAACTAATAAAATATGCTCTGCCGAAGCAACCAGTATTAATTATTGTACTTTTTTTCATCAGGAAAATATTTTTATTTCACTTTATTCTTTTCTTTTTTTCTTCTTATTATTCATTTATTTATTTTTATGAAAGTTATGTATTAATAACACTGATACTATTAGAGCAACTATTGAGGATAATTGCAAGTTATTCCTGAATTTTTTTTTTATTATCTATTTTTTTAATATATAAACAAACTCAAATCAACTACTTGCCTGTCGCATGCATATATATACACTTCGTTAAGCTGATGCGTTAACTACACCATGTATACACCTTTCTGAAGTACGCATTGCACAATGTGCTTTGCCAAGATTACCTAAAATTACTAATAATAGTTATTAATTTCAGGTTATTATAAACCTTTTTCACATGATTAATAAAACAATGATTGTTTATCGGTATTGTTTATCTTTGTATTTTTACTCCTCAGTTTCAGATTTTGACAATAGTGATGATGATTTGGCTGATTTGTTAGATGATGATGATGACATATATGCAAAAAAGCTGACTAAAACTTCACCTTCTAAAAAACTACCAGGTAAAGGTATATTCAAGTTGTAATTTTTGTAAAAAATTACAAAATAAGTTTGTCAATCTACACATATCTTAGCAAAATAAATAAATATATTTCAAAAACTTCAACTTTTTTTTAAAACTTTAATTTTGAAAAGTAAAAAAATATTAAAAGACGAAAAAATGGAAAAAAATTTTTTTTGAATAATTTTCAAAAATTTATTGTATTAAAAATTGAGATAAACATAAATTTTTAAAATCATAAATTTTTGCTATACATTTTAACAGCCTTAAATGTGCAAATTTCATTATGTTAGATTTAGTATAATTTTTATAATAGTTTCTGGTATATAGCATTAATATCGCAGACCCAAATTTCAAAATATGAAGATTCTATTACCAGATAGATGGTTGAAGAAAAAATTACTAACATTTTTACTGTCCGAATGATAATTTCTTCCTTTACTTTTAAATATTCATTTTCCCATAATTTTTAATTTCAATGTTTTCAAGATTAAGATTAGAAAAGCTAATTCATTATTTATAATTTAAGATTTCATTTACATGTTTTCAATTTAGTTCTTTCAAAAACTGGGAGTTGATAAAATTGAATGAGAGTGGTGTTCCTAAATTTTGTAATTTGTTTCTGACCACCAGTAAATTTGATTCTAATAACCAGTAAATTTGATTGCTATTACTATTACTATAATTATTACTATTATTATAATTATTACTATTGTTATAATTATTATTAATATTTTTGTTAAATAATTTAAATATGTTACTGATATATATTACTATTATGTTATGTTAATACAAATAATTTAAATATGTTGCTATTGTTTTTTGAATGATAGATATTTTTTCTATAGTTTTGAGCTAAAAAGGATTCTGTGTAAACAGCATAATTTTAATTAATGTAATAGTTTATTTTAGTAATGATCAAAAATTTCTTAATTTATGGTAGAAAATAATTTCTTTAATTACTTTTTTTTCATTAAAACCTGAAGTTTTAAAGAAAGTGCTAAAGTTCAGGAATATATCATATTAAAGTTTAATTGTCAGTTTGCCTGGGAGTTTATCATGTATTTCTTCTTAGTGGTTTATATTTTCTATTGTAATGAATTGTAATACCATTTAAAAACACCATGCTTGTGAAAAAAAAAAAAAAAAACCTAGATGGTGTGGAAAATTGAAAAATGGAAAATATTATTTTTGTATGCTTTATTTAATTTCTATAAGGTGGTAAGAAATATTTACTTTACTCATTTTTTTAAACAATGGCCATCAATACAAGGCTGTCATTTAATACGACTGAAAAAGATATAGGGCAAAATTAATAAAAAATAAGTTCTCATTTTTAACAGTGGTCACTTTTTAAAATGTAATTTTAAAAAAATTTAAATTTTGGAATTGATAAAAATTGAAAATTAATAAAAAAACTGATATCAAAGGAATTGATAAAAATTAAAAATTTTAAGTAATTAAAAACACTGTTGATCTAATTAATGCAAAGCATTTTTCTTGGTATTTTTTTTCCCGATAAACACAATTATATCTAGAATTCTACATTCATTTCTAAACACAAAAAAAATTTTAAAAAACAAATAATTTTCTGAATATTATAAAATATTTATATTAATTCCATAAATAGCAAAATAGTAATAATAAAACGCACATGGGATACATTTTTGATGCAAAAAGTGGCGATTGGCAGAAATTTTTTAAAATCTCTTTTTGTTATATTTATTCTCCCTGAGGCTGATAGAGATCCTTAATTTTGCCCTATATATGGCAGGTTTTATTCTAGAATTTTTCTGTCAAAATGATGTCAATACAAGTTTGCAAACATCTCATTCAGAATTGCAGTTTTATAATATATGTTTATGTTTTCAATATTTTGTTTTCACCTCTTCATTACAAAAAAATCTTGAAACGCATTTTTTTTTTCAAATAAATTTATTTTAAATAAAATAAATGTGATTTAAATTTTTATTTTTTTATAACTATATAGCAATTGTACTTGTTTTAATTTCTTGTTCTTATATTTCAGATAAAAAATTTCCTTCTAAGAAGTTAACCGATGAACCAGCGAATGATACTTTATTGGGTCGCAAAAATTCAAGCTTGCCTTTTTCATCCCCTGAGAGAAAGGAATCTTCCACGTCAGTTTTGTCTCCCGAGAAGAAAAAGTCTTTTGATTTTAGTTCCATTCTCGAAAATTCTCCAAAACATGCCAAAGGTAAAAGAAACTCTAATGAATTTGAAGGTGATGCTTTAAGTGAGTTCTTAACTAAAACTGCACTACCAAAAGTCAAGTCAAAGCCTACTTCCCCAGCAAAAAAATCAAGTGATCCAGATATATCAAAATCCATAGAAGCAGATTTTGATTTTTCAAAGTCATCGTCAAAGAGTTTTCCACTGAAACAAGACGATAGCCTTCCAAAAGATGACTTCAATTCAGATGATGATGACCTCTTAAAATCTTTGGAGTCTGATGAAGACAAGAGTACTCCCAATTCTCCCCGTAAGCGAAGTGGATCTTTCTTTGATGACTTTCTCAAAAATTTATCTCCTAAACACAAGTCAAAGAAGCAAAATAGTGTCCTAAAAGATTCAGAGGATTATAAAGGTTAGTGTTATGCCATGGGAGGCAATGCAATTATTAATCCTTAAAGATAATCTCAATCACCATGACATCTTATTTTAAAATTTATTGCAATATTTTCAAGACACCCTATATAGTCATTCCTTGAAAGTGTGTAACCTTACGGAAACCTTGAGTCAGAATTTTCTTTTTATTGTCCCAAAAATGTTTCTACTAAAAACCTTTTTTTCTATAAAGCAAAAATATTGCAGTTTTAAACCTTTCATCCTAAAAGGATTAAAAATTATTTTTTAAGGATTTTTTAAAAAGTATTGTCACGTAGGTCCATAATGACGTTTTAGCTGATGTCCCCCTAGCTATAGAATCAAATTTCATTGTTCTTAAAATTTCATGACAAGGATATAATAACAATTAAAATGTTATGACAAGATTATATTTCATGACAAGTAGATTTCAGCTGAGCATACAAGACGTTGCGAAGAGAAACCTTATAATTACCTAGATTTAAGATTATTTTCACCTTAAGACTAGCTTTATTCAAGGATTTTTTCCACACTAAGACAACCTCAATTTAAGGTTTTTATTAAAAGTTTGTTTTCCAAGGTTTTGGATTAGGGTAATGTGCGTAGAATAGAGCAGATTGTCACGGAAGTGCCTCGTTTTAAGATTAGAAGGTTTACACGTAAACATCATAAAAAACCTTTCTAGGTTTACATTAAAAGACTTTTGCCGAGTGAAAGTAAGCCTTATTTTACTATCTGGATTTAAACATTCACATTTCCTTTATTTGATACATTTTAGTAAAATATACCTAACTGTAATTATCAAAAAAGTGTGTTTTTGTATTGAAGTTAATTTAATGCATTTCTGCTTTTGTTAAATCTTCCAATTTTGTAGTGAAACTCTTTTATTTTTGTACTATGTCCCAAACTCTTCAACTATGTACATAGCATGCCATACTTCATAGCATTTTTCTCCTCCTGGCTTTCATAACTTTCCATTTTTTGCCTTGAAAGACCAGACAGTCACAGTGTTCTCCCTAAGTATTTTTTTTTTTTTGAAGGGCAGTTCACCCCGACTGCCCTTTGATCTTTATAAATGTGCTCTCCTGGCACTTTTTCTAAAAATTAGCCGCCATTTCTTAAAAACGCAACTTTTTAATTGAGCCGCGATGTCTCAGGGCATAAAGCGTTCGCCTCCCAATGAGGTGAACTCTCGTTCGAATCCCAGCTCTGACTGGTCGATATGAATTCCACATCTGGCTTGCCCTGATCACCGTGCTGACGTAAAATATCCTCTGTGGTAGACAAGTCAGGGGTTAGAGCCCCTTTGCTGTCAGGGTAACCGTGGGACGTTCTCATGGTTTTCCTCTCCATGTAATGCAAATGTGGGTTAGTTCCATCAAAAAATCCTCCACGAAGGCAAATTAATTTTAATAACTTAATTTTTAATTTTTTTCCTTTAATGAAAATTTTTCTTATGTTGTCTAGTTAAAATATTCATATAGATATATTAATATCTTTTTATATTTTCATAGAGATATTCATAATTTTTATTTACAAGGGAGTATATTAATGAGTTTTTTAGTGATTTTACCATTATTTTTTTCAGATAAATTACCTTTTATTAAAAAAACGCGCATTTAAATGTTTACATTCTCATAATTTTAAGTTTAAAATATGAAGAAAGCTTTAAAGTTGTTTATCAATTAATCCTTTTTTTTTCAGTTTGCTTTTCTTTTAAAGAAAATTTATACACAGGGATTGTCTTCTAGCGTATCTTTAATTATGCTTCAAAAGCTTCAAATTTTTCTTTGACAATGAGCTAGAATTACTTTGTAAAATATACACATAAAATAGTATAAGACGATACTTTAAAAATTGAGGATCAAATTCCGTTATTACATATTTTGAAAAATTTTAACGATGGTAAGTGGCCCTTTCAAAACTCAAAGTGACCTTTTCTGTGAGGAAGTACCCTGCCCTTTTTTATTCCTAGGGAGAACTCTGCAATCAAAATAATAAATTGTATGAGTTTCTGTGTGCGATTTTGTTTCTCATAAAATTGAGTACAAATATTAAAATTTTTATAAAGTTAAAAGCTATGGTTAAAGGTGTAGCGAAAAAATTTTTTTTTTGAAGGGGTGATTCCTTATTTAGCATTTTTTGAAATTTTCATTAAATTATGAAACTAAATCAAATCTAATTGCATATTTTTATTATATACTTTTTGTCAGGATAGGGTTTTGTTAAAACGACCACCTCTACCATTAGCTAATTTTTTTTAATAATATCTTGAAAATTTGATAGAGATATTTCTAAGAAATGTTTATTTCGATTATCAAAAATATTATTGAGGTGACGGTATTTTTCTCATATTTTGTTTAATTTCATCGAATTATTTTAATATAAGTTGAAAGTAATTGTTTTAATTTCGATTGTCAATTTTCAGATTCAACTGAAGATGTAATTAGTGAAGAAACTAAGAAGGTGGATTTTAAAAAGGAGTATGATTATTTTTCCTTATTCAGGATTGCCACAGGTGACTAAAATGCAACCATTAGCTACTATTTTTAGCATGAGGCGACTATGGCAACTTTTTTTTGCCAGAAAAGGCAACTATTTTCAGGAAAAGGAGACTATTGGGAGACTTTTCTGTACTCCTAGTGATATTTTTCTTAGAATAAATTAGGTTGAAAACCTGCGGCCCGCGAGAGCTTCTGAACACACAAAAATTTTTTTTCCTTCAAAAATAACAAATTTTGAATTGCAAATTTGAGTCATCACTTTTTAATTAGTTCAATTTGCACAAATTCCATTGTAAATTCCATTTGTTCTCAATCACCTTTTCAACAGTTATTGCTACGAAATCCCGCCTGATTTTTAAAAAGCCCAATTTATATATATATACACACACCAAAGAGCCATTACATTATGGCTACCCTGCTAATAACATGTAGGACCACCTTTAGCCCTCAAAACTGCTAGCACCTGACGTTGTTGATCTAC